GGATTTGCTCCTCAGGAGCCACCCAGCTTTCTTTTAAGACAGGATTCTTAATGTCTGGAACTTTCCAAGTAGGCAAGGCTGATTTGCCTGTAAGGCCCAGAGATCTATGTGTCTCTGCCTCCTCAGCTTTGGAATTACAAACACATCACAACACCCAGCCGTTCCACATGGCTTCTGGGGATCCGACTCAGATCTTCAGGTTGGGCACTGTACCAATGAAGCCGGCGCCCCAGGCTTCGGAACTCCAATTACAGCTCAGCAGTAGCTTCATACGGATGGACGTATAGATCTAACATAACAAACCCAGTCCTGGAGACGAGGAGACAGACGAAATTCATCTAGAAAGTGGCAAAAATAGAACTCCAACTCAAGATGTTGCCACTCCGATTCTATTCTCCTTCCCAATCAGGAATGCCAGAGATCTGAGGAGGGCTGAGGAGGGAGGGACTTCCGGAGTGCTTTCTGGGGCTCATCAGATTCTTCTCAGCTAATGCTTTTCTTTTAATCTGTTAACTTAGCTCTGGCAACACACACACACACACACACACACACACACACACACACACACACACACACACAAAAACAACCAGCCAACAAACAAACCAAACCTCGATGTTTAGTGGTAAGTAAACTCATGCTAGCCCTGGGTTTATGGTTGAGAGTTGAATCTCTGGACCAGCTTATATTCTTTGCAGCCCCGAAGCTCCCCAGGCTGTCAAAAGTTCTAGTTCTTGCCTCCCTGACTTTAACTGCCAGGACCTGAAAGCAGATAATAATGTCAAGAAGAATGAAGAGGTCCTGGGTTGGAGACACGCCCCCAGGAAGCCAGGCCTCCGGGCTGGACTTCCTAGTGGGAAGGAAAGAGTTCTCTTCTTTCTCCCAACAGTGGGGAAGGTCACAGGGGAAGCAGTTGCCATGTTTATTCTCAGCCTGTCTCCCAGGGAGGCAAGAGCAGGGAGACCCGTCTAATAGTCAAACAAGTTAAAAAGAAACCCACTTGGATTGGATGTTGGAAACATGTGAAGAAGAGAAATTAATTGAAGAGGATAAAGGTATTTTTTTTTTAATTCCTGCTGAAACTGTGAGTCTGAAGTAAAGGTCATTCTATTGCTAGAAAGAAAAACCCAGTGCAAGATGCGGAGAGATGTGGGTCCTTGTTTACTAAAGAGCTTTGAGAGAAAGAGGCATGTGCAAGAGAGGACCTCTGTAGTTTCTTCTGTCAGAAGGAAGAGGCCAGTAGGTGCGTGTGCGTGTGCGCGCGCGCGCGCGCGCGTGCGTGCGTGTGTGTGTGTGTGTGTGTGTGTGTGTGTGTGTGTGTGAGAGAGAGAGAGAGAGAGAGAGACAGACAGACAGACAGACAGACAGACAGACAGACACAGACAGACACAGGTGCATACAGAGGCCAGAGGAGGGCATCAGATCCCCTGCAGATGGAATTACAGGTAGTGTGAGCCAGCCATCATGGTGCTGGGAACTGAACTCAAGACCTCTGTGAATGAGAACCTGACTGTTCCTAGGAACGTCTGAGAAGGAGGTTTTTATTGTAGATATGAGATAGAGAACAGTCAGAGGCATCTGGACAGGTCCAGACTGAACTGGGCCATGAGAGGTGTCTCCGTTTGCATTTCCTGTTGCTGTGAAAAGACACCATGACCACAGCAACTCTTCGGAAGTAAACATTTCATTGGGGTGGCTTGCTTACAGTTTCAGAGGTCCAGTCCATTGAGACCACGAAGGAGAGCACGGTGGTGTGCAGGCAGGTGTGATGCTGGAGCTGAGAGTCCGACATCTCACAGGCAACAGGAAGTCAACTGGCAGTCACACTGAGGGAAGCTTGAGCAAAGGAGACCTCAGAGCCCAGCCCCACAGTGACACATGTCCTCCAACAAGGCCACACCTCCTACTAGTGACACTCCCTTTGGGGACCATTTTCTTTCAAACCACCTCAAGGGGAGAGGAGAGTGGAGGGGAGGGGAGGGGAGGGGAGGGGAGGAGATCAAGAGAGGAAGAAGGGGGAGCTTAGTGTAGGGGCAGGGTATGCCACCCCAGGGTGACTCTGTAACAGGTACTTGTGAGGAAGGACTGAGGGAACATAGGCCTTGATATGCACATGTCCCTTTTGCCAGAGATAAGGAGACCAATTCCTTTCAGCAAGTAGGAATTATCTTCTCAAGTCCCTGGGCGAATGCTGGCTTTTGTCTAAATGCCAGACTTTGGGAAAAGGAACTGGCACTCAGAAAGAGTAGTACAAACCCTTAACCACTGAGTCCTCTCTCCAGTCCCTCACAGTGGACAGTTCATCCTGCTAGGGCTAGATCATCAGGGCAGTGGGAAGACAGAACCATGGTGGAAGGTGGCAGATATATCACTCAGTACTAGGATGAGAAAATAAAACATGGTCCACACCTGTTGAGTTGCTGGGAATCAAACCCAGGGCCTATCAAATGCTAAGCTGACAGCTACCACCGGGTGACAATCACAGCCCTCTTGTTTTATCTTATGAAATGATATTTCAACCCCCTGTGTTCTTACTTGGGACACTTTCTTTTTATGAGTCTATCCCTAGTAAAGGGCCATGCCTTTTCTCTGCAGTTTGCTGAAGCCATGTTGGCGGATTTAACTACATCTGAATTCATTCTGCACTTGATAAGCTGCCCTGCATGGATTTAGTTCTTAGGCTGCACACAAGAGGTAGTCTCAAGATATGTAACTGGCTTGTTCATAAAGTGCTGAGCACTCTTGTGGCTTTTATTAATGTCACTCTCATAAACGTTGGGGACAACAATCAACATTTATACTTCTAGGCTTGGGCAGGGAGGAGATAAGCTTAGACAGGATGTTTATATTCAAGTACTTCCGAAAGGAGCCATTTCTTGGGTTCCTTCAACTTTACTCTAATGACAAAATGGGGAGACAAACAGCATTAACTCCTTCTTCTAGAATGGTTCTCCTTAGATGTGTATGGACCAGATACGGAAGTGAGTCTTAAAGGTAGGACTGTGCTATGTAGGGTTATCTGAGAAGAGGGAAGTGATATCTGAGAACATGCCTTCATCAAACTGGCCCGGCAGAGAAGCCTATGGAACATTCATCTAATCAGTGATTGATGTGAGAGGGCCCGATCTACTTTGGATGGTGCCACCCATGGGCTGCTGGTCCTGGGTTCTATTTTAAAAAAGAGACTCATCAAGCCATGAAAAGCAAGACTGTAAGCTTCTCTCTCCATGGCCTCCACATCAGCTTCTGCCTTCAGGTTCCTCCCCTGTTTGAGTTCCTGCCCTGACTTCCTTCAATGATTAATAGTGATATGGAAGTGTAAGCCAAAAACAAAACCCTTTCCCCTCCAAGTTCCTGTTGTTCGTGGTGTTTCATCACAGCAATAGACAAGGACTCACTCATTCATTTTATAAAGTTCATTGAAGGTTTCCTCTCAGTTAGGCACTCTGCCCCCAGGAGCACAGTGGGATTATGGTGAATAAGGGAGATGATGTCACCACCACTATGGAAACTATCACTAGTCACATATCCATGTGATACCAAGCCATCTCACCCAGCACATGTCATAACTATTAACCCTGTCTGATGGGTGTTTTCTTGCTTTCTTTTAGCCTCTGCCATCCTGCAAAGTGAGATTTCTTTTATTGTTGTTGATTGATCTGAAACATATAGGACCTGCCAATGGATAACTCAATATGTTCATGCTTGTATAGTTGCATTCCAAAGGAAAAAACTTGCCATTCACTGTTACTTCACTTATCAGGAAACACGTTTACTCTCCTACCTGCACAAACGTTGTCTTTTCAAGGTCCATGTAGCTGATTTCTATCTATAATTTGAAGTACAAATGTGCTCTCATAATATTCAACATGAGGTGTACCTATTTCTTTGAACAACATGACATATAAATGTGGCCTGTTTGGTTTTCATTTGTTTGTGTTTACTGTGTGTGTATGAATGTGCACACATGCACTTGTGTATAAAATTTGCACATGCCACAGCGCACATGTGGTGGTCAAAGCATTAAGGCCCATTAAGGAAAAAACTCCTTCTGGTCAAGAGACTAGGGCCTGTGGCCTGGCTAGAAACATAACATTTCAATTGGGCCATGTCAGTTATTTGGTCAAGTCCTGCCCTCCCCTGCACCCCCCCAGGATCACAGTAAGCCAAGCTAAGGAGATAGACAGAATGATCATCTCTTTAATGAGCTACTGTACTTTTCCTTCCCAGATTTCCAACTCTCACTGCAGCTCCCACAGGTCATCACCATGAGGGTCAGCTGGGTCTTCCAACCTTCTGGGGCCCAAGAGAGAAAAGTGTAACTTTCCATTTTTAATTTTTCTGTCTCTTCCTTTTGGAAGAGAAGCTAAGTATGCCTTTTCCAATCCTTTAGACTTCTTTCTTCTTTCTTTAAATCTACTGTTACCAACACGTGCCTGCTTCTCCCGGACATGTCTGACTTCATTGCTGGTTGAAATGGCATGTTTTTGCTTTTTCCTTTCCTTCTCTCCTCCAGACATTGGTTAGGTTTTAGAGCTTGCCTGCCCTGGGGCTGTCTTTTAAACAGTAATAAAATTGCCCTTGAGTTTCCATTTGAATCGATTCTTAAATGCATATATTAACAAGCCTAGGAAGCCCCAAATGGGAGTCCTGATTTCCCCTGTGTAAAGAAGGCCCCTTGCGGGCATCACCACTTTCCCCCATGTGGGTTCTGGGGATGGCACTCAAGTACTGGACCTTGACCAGCAGCCCTGGGGGCAAATGCCTTGAACCTCTGAGTTGTCTCACAGCCCAGCAAAAGTGTTCTTCCAACAGGCAGTGTCTTATCTGTTCTCACCCACAAGATATCGAGGCAGAAAATTCCGAAGGCAGAAAAATGGAGAAAATTCCGAAGACTGACAGAGTCAGGCAGCAGCAGGGGAAGGACTGGCAGCCCCTACCTACCCCAGCTTCATCCCATCAAGGGCGCATGCTCAGAAAAGCCGGTGTTATAGGAACCTGGAAGAGGCTGGTGCTATCCGGGCATTCTTCTGGGATTATGTCTCCTAGAAATGACGGGAAGACCTCCCCCTTGATACCTCCACAATATGGATGCCTACACAAGACCTGAACAGTAACACCAACAGACATGCTGTTGTGAAAGAGGAGACATCTCATGGGGTTCCTAGACAAAGAACGACAGGTAACTAATGGCCGATGGGGGGAGAATTAGTCTTTCCCAGGGATGAGTTCTCGAGTTGTTTATTCAACGCCAAGCATTCAGCCCTGAAATTATACACACACACCAACACTAAATGGATTCAACACGTTGTATTTATGTATTTCTGCAGATACATGTATAACAATAATAGTGAAAGAAAAAGTGAGTTTGAGAAGGAGAGGGGCACATGGGAAAATTTGCAGGAAAGAAATTTTAGTGGAAATGGAGGGAAGAAAGGGAAGGGGGAAAAGATGTAATTATATTTTAGTTAAAATTTAAAATTACTAACTTCTTAAAGAAAAAGGTCCCTGAGGACCACACCTCAGTCCGTCTTGCCCTCTTGGGGCCGAGCCACAGGGGGGGAGGCAGGGCATGCCTCCAGGCCCCATTCTATCTGCCCCGTAACAAGCCATCCCGTCTCCTGTAACCATGCACAGACCTCTGTACAACCCAATGCAAAGGGGCACAAGAACCCGAGACTTCAGCGTCTGCCTTCTGGACCCCAGATCTGCTTCGGTGACCACACGGTGGCTTTGTTTCCATATTGCTGCGGCCTGTGTCCTGACACTGCCGTGTACTTTCCACCGTGAACATATGTGTGTACATGTAAATATTAAGTAAGAACTATGATTTATTCTCTCATGTAAACACTCGTGTTTGGTGGAAAACAAATGTGACTCACATTTTCTTGTAATTTTGCTTTACAACAAGTGGCATTTCCAGAATCGGTGCTTGGGAAATCACTGTAAAATCACTGAAGGTCAACTATAGACACCTGGGACCCACTGGGGAGGCTGTTCTGCCGTTGTAGCATCTCGCGCTGCAGATCGGGGTACGTCTGTGAACACTGAAGGTTGGAAAGTGAATAAATGGCCAAATTCCAAATTAAACAGAAAAAAAAGAAGATAATTGGGATTGCAAACCAGTAGGATGAACCATGTCCCCATTGGTAATTAATCTAACCTTAAGAGCTGTCTGTCTTGCCTTTGGTTACTAGGAGATGCTCAACACCCCCCACCCCCACTTTCCCCACCATGTCCTGTCTAGGAAGATTTTTGTTTACATGAGCCATGCTGAACAGTCTAACAACATATGATTTAGAGGGTGGGAGACCAAATTTATTAGCTTGGTGTGTAGAGGTCATCCATGTGGTCCCTCAGTTATAGCTGCATAATTGGTCCTTAATAAAAATTCTGGGTACACATGAATTCAGTTGTCCTCTCTAGCTGGTGAAACTCAGTGATTCCATATGTACTTGGGGGGGGGGGAGAGGTAGCGTCCTAGTTTGTGGCAAAAGGTCAAATGGAAGCATTTAGAAAGTTCTTAGATTCTGCCTTAATCTGCGCACACACACATACACACACAAGCACACACACGAACACACACACACACACACACACACACACACACACACACACACACACACAAGAGAGAGAGAGAGAGAGAGAGAGAGAGAGAGAGAGAGAGAGAGAGAGAGAGAGAGAGAGAGAGAGAGAGAGAGAGTGAGAGGTTCTCACATGGTTTAAACTGGTCTGAACTCCTGATCCACCTGTGTCTGCCCTCCATGTCCCCCAAGTGCTAACTGAGTTCTAGAATTACAGGATGTGCCATCATACCCAGCATGCATCTGTGGCATTCATCTGTCTATTTTCTCATTGTAATAAACCGTCTCCAAGAGCACCAGTGCTTCCTGTGTGAATCTGGCAGCTCCTCCTGATAGCTTATCAGAACCCAGAATGATCTTGGGACTCTGGAGTCTTTAGAATTGACATCACCATCAGGGTCATTTGGTAGACTATGCCCAACTTGGTGGAGAAACAGTATCACTATTTCCTTTATTACAAGTTCTTAATGATTTTAAAGTGAGACACTGATTAAAATAACACCTTTCGGAAGCAATAAAATGACACAAACATATCTTATTTGTAAAATGCCTTAGGAAGAGTAAAGGGAGTAAATCTGTCTGTTCATTGATTCATTCATTTTCCAGATTGTTTTACTGCAAGACAGGGATATTTTGTTGCTCAGGATGCCCTTGAACTCAAGCTTCTCTTTTCTCAGCCTCCCAAATGTTGTAATTACGTAAATGCTCCACCATACTCCTCTTGTTTCTGTTTTAAAAAGTGCACGCATCTGTGTGTGTCTTCGATTGTTTCTTACTGTTAGATGCAGGAAAGTTAGATGAGTTGGTTAACAGGCATGCACCAGGCTTGAAGGATATGGACGTGTAGGTATGTGACGTAGAAGAGGTCAGGGAGGGGCTCCTCAGGAGGACTGAAGAGCAGGGCAAATGCCGGAAGAGAGAAGAACATGTGTGTCTTGGGGTTCTGTGAGAGAATGATCCAGGATAATGCACAGATGGATGAGCCGTCGAGGGGAATGGATTTAGAAGGTATGTCTCACTTGACGGTGGAGTCATCCAAGATGCTTAGAAGTTTGCAAGACAGGAAATACTTTGATTCTCAGACCTCCTGAGAGGTGAGCTGCTGCTGATATTTGAGGAGCCTAGTCTCATGAATAATCCCGGAGCGGTGAGATGGCTCTGTGGCTAAGATAACTTGTTTCCAAGCTGGATAACCTGAGTTTGATTCCCAGAACCAACATGGTGGAAGAAGGTGACTAAGTCCCACAGACTGTCCTCCGACCTCCACAAGGTGCTGTGGCAATCATGCATTCACACATATGCAGGAACACGTGCACACAAAATAAATCAATATGATGTAAAAAATAAAATGTCAAAAAAGGCTCACTTTCAATGTCAACCATTCCCAAGCACTCAGAAGAACCAGGCAGGAGATAACACACGAATCATGTGGGCAGAGTCCAGACTAAAAGTCTTTTTGCTACAAGGACACTTAATAGAATTTAAAAAACTTGAGAGTTCTTACAGAGGGCTGTAAGTGGACATAGCTCACTTGCTCTGTTCTTGACTTATACGCACAAAGCCCTGGGTTCAGTTCCCAGTACTACCTAAAGCCAGGAGCAGTGGGGCTGTCTGTAATCTCAGCACTCAGGAGGCAACAGCCGCAGGATTAGAAGTTCAAGATTATCTCTGAGTACATAGCACATTCAAGGTGAGCCTGGGCTGCATGCAGCTCTGAATAATAATAATAATAATGATAATTATGATAATAATGATAAAATAAGAGTAATAATAGGTTCTGTGCCAGCAAGATAGATCAGCAGGTAAAGGCACTCTGGCCTACACACACACACACACACACACACACACACGCACGCACGCACGCACGCACGCACGCATGCACGCACGCACGCGCACGCGCACACACACACACACACACACACACACAGGAATAATGATTTTAAAGTTTTTACACAAATACTGAAGCATTACTAGGACTTACTAAGAAAATAATATTTTGCCATTAAAGTATCTTAATTCATATAATGGAAGCTTCCAAGTAGCTCCCCAGCTGCCACCGAAGGCTCGTGGGCATAGCAGATATGATAAATGTTATGTCAGAGGATAATGATGGGTGATGGGTGAATAGAAGCTATTACCGTTCCGTTATATCATCACAATGGTCGAACTCAAAGGCCTATTATTAGAGGACATGGACAGTTTCTAAAAGGATGAAGTGTTCAAATATGAAACACCTAAGGATTTTTCTAAATATTTTGGAATGATTAATGAGGTTGTTGTATTTTGAGAGATAATACTCCTCTAGCAAAGAATGGAAAATAGATGTATGGTTTTTGTTGTTGTTTTTTTTTTTTTGACAATTTGATCCATGAACAAGGATAGAGGACCCTTGTAACTCTGACTCCAATGTATCCCTGAGAATAATTCTCCTCACTGTGTGTCCACAGAAGGCCAACTTCATGGATGTGCGACTTGCAAGACCCACAGGGTTCCACAGGGTTCCACAGGGCTCACACTGGCTTCATTCTGTATTGTCCTTGTCTAGAAATTCTTAATTTCTTAAGAAAGGGACTTAAGCTTTATTCTTTACTAGGATCTGCAAATTCCACACCAGAACAGGTCCCTGTTGAGGTGGTTCTTATTGAGAAAGTTTATCAAGAAAGGAGCCGAGCAACTATGAGGTAGCTAAGCAGAAGACATGGGTCAGCATTGGTTCCTAACGTGCTTGCATGAGGCCTTGAGTTTAATCTCAAGGAACAATGTGGAACATGGTAGCATGTACTTGGAGGCACAGCCAGAAACAAGCAGACCCCCAGGACTCACCAGAGAGCCAGCCTAGCCTACATGTCAAGTTCTAGCTAGTGAGAGAGAGAGGCAAGGATGCTGCCAGCATCCTTGCCTCTCTCTCTCACTACACGGCAACGTCTCCTGGAGAGTGGCACCCACAGTTGCACCCTGGCCTCCACATACATACGTGTGCACATGTGCATGAATACTGCATGCTCACACTCACTTCCCAGCATCCACCTACCCATGGAATTCTCTGCCACAGCCGCAGTCCTCATCCTGCATTTTCTCTGTCCCACTAGCCCGCCTGATTCTGGGTGGTATCGTCAATTCCTTGCTTCCCCCAAACCTACCATATTCTCTCACACATCCTTTTCACCTTCAGAATACTTCAGAATATTTCTTCAGGCTCCTGGGATCCCCTTCCTAACAGCACATAAGGAGGACCCCACCGCTGGGACTAGAGATTTTGTTTAATGACCCTCTACTCCTGCTTGAGAACAGCACCTTTCCCCAGCCATTCAGGGTACCTTCCATCAAACTCCACGTGTGTGTGTGTGTGTGTGTGTGTGTGTGTGTGTGTGTGTGTATAGGTTTCAAGATAGTACATTTCTTACGTCTTTTTCATACTGCCTTTATACTGATTAATCTTCTTCCCCTACCCTTCCATCTCCCCTATCCCCTCCCCTCCCTGCTTAAACCATTCCATCCCTAATATTATCCCCTCTCTACTTTCATTTTATCTACACTCTATTATCTCTCTCTCTCCTCCATTCCTTAAGGCATCTCTCTCCCTGTGGTCCTTTTCTAGTTTCCTGGCTTCTACAGTAGTTCAAACTGAACACATAAAATTAAGTGTTAAGATTCATATGTGAGAATTTACAGGCGGACATGTGGCATCTGTTTTCTGGGCCTGTATTTCCTTACTCAGCATGTCTTCCAGTTTTTATTTGTTTACCTGAAAATCCCATAATTTCACTTTTCTTTACATCTGAGTCAAGTTCCATTGTGTCCATGCATGATGTTTTCATTATTTTCTCATCAGTTGATGGATGTCTAGGCTGATTCCATTCTCTAGCTATTGTGAATAGAGTGAGCATGAGCATCGGTGAGCCAGCATCTCCATAGTTATCTCCTTTTCATCCCCACGTCAACTACCTGACCAGAGAAAGAGCCTGAGCTGACTGCGTGGGGTGTTCAGAAGAGACCTGCAGGCCCCCGGTCATAACCGAAGCAGTCAAGGATGAAGTACAGCCCAAGGGTATGTGCTGTGCTCACTTTCTCTGCCCTTTACAGGAGCATTGTATGGTTGTTTCTGCAAATATTTGGTGTTGTGTCGGAACACTGTGGGATGGAGTCATGTGTAAATCACACACAGTCGTAACTCACTCTAGACAAGCAAACTCTTTCCCTTATGGCTCAAAGTATATACCCTGTTGTTTAAAAAAAAATCCCCCTTCTTTCAAACTAAGAATGCTGTTCTTAATTTTAAAAAAGTAACTTCCCATTCCCAATGTTTATCAAGTTCTCCATGTACTTGCCAATCTCTTTTTTATAACTTACACCTGAGGCTGATACGTAAGTGAAAAATCAATTCTATGTTGATCACAGTCATATTTCCTGATGGACTGGGTCAATATTTGCCTTACTGCTTCAGAAGACAGGAGCAGAGTCTTGAGATAAATGGATCATTTGCCTTCAGTATAAATATCCTGGAAAATTTCAAAACTTTGCCTTCTCGGTTTCCTTGTCTACAGCTTGTCTGGAGGTATCTGGGCCTTCAGAATCAGGAGTAAGACTATACTAGAAAATACCTGTCGTGATGGATAGGAATTACATCTGTGAGGAGAGAATTAATTGCCTTCTATTAACATTATGTCATATTTATGGCTTTGCAAGAAAGATTAGCTTTAGGGAAAGAGGTTACTTCCGCTTTTCCCAGGCTCAAGCTTTGTTCTTTTTCTTCCTTACTGAGGACACAAGGTCTCTCAGCACATAAACAGGGAGCTGGGTAGCCAACATCTTAGGATGTTCTCTTTTTAACAAACAGGAATAGACACGCTTGGAGGTTTTCTTGTTCACTACTGTGGTTCCCGTTAAAAGTTTTCAAACAGAAGTTTTGAAGATAAGTATGTTTCATAATCTCTCAACTCTAAATAGCAGTCACTGCAACAGAAAAATTCATAGTTAAGTGCAAATGTTCTTCAGGAGTCTGTCTCCCTAGTGTGGAGATTGGGTCATGGCTGTGAGTATAAGTGTGTGTGAATATGAGCCTCATGAAGCAGAGAAGGTCATCCAATGTCTGATCCGAACTGAGCCATGTGTCTGAAACACAGCCAAGGAAACTTTCTGAGGTCCAGTTTCCCTACTCATTAAACAAGAGAGTTGAGTATCTGCTGGCACAGAGGCTGGCCCTTCCATGACTGCAAATGTAGCAGACATGGCCGACCCACCCTGAGTGTTCCCACTCAGCCAAAATCAGGAATGAAATTCTTCTCAGTTAAATACTACCAATCTGCATCCAGTTGAGCAGATCTTGTGTATCTCCAATGTGACGCACATATGCTTCCACAAGTAGCTAAAATATAAGGGATCCCATCTGGGAGCTGTGTGTGTGTGTGTGTGTGTGTGTGTGTGTGTGTGTGTGTGTGTGTGTGTGCAGACTAAACCTTTGAGACAAAAGTAAGTGTATTTTATGATTTAATTCAAGAAATAGTACCCAAAGTGAGGCAATCAAAAATGCTCATTCAATGAGTAGATGATAGAATTCTTAATTTCCCATTTGCTAATCCACTTTATCCTCTGAAAATCAGCCGTTGACATACCTGGCTGAAGTAACTCACCAGTTCTATGAGCATTGTATTAAAAAATGCTTTGAGAGCCCTTAAAGGGACGTAACTACCAGGCATTGCTACTTGATAGCCAATTCCCTCAGGCCGGGGGAACCGGGAAAGTGTTGACGGGGAAACTGGCATTACATTTCCTTTTCTTTCTCCTTTCTGTAAGACTGAAGGAAGGACCACATCCCTGCTGCTGTCTGCTGCTTTCTCACCTCACAGTTCCCCACTTTCATGAGGCTGGGAAGAGTCGGACCATTTATCCGGGACAGAAGTCATTACTCAGAGTAGCGGCCATCTCTGCACACTGGGAGCCTTAGAGCAAGTTATTTTCTTATGCACTTAATTTTAATTCAGCAAACTCAGTGATACTACCTTGTGTGTTTTGTATCAGGCTATAGATGCAGGCAGATGAAGAACAGTCTGTCTTTGTGAGGGAAATGGAGACCGCATCGGGATGCAACCAGATGAGGATAATGTCTTCCCAGACTGACGGGAGGATTAGGCAGGGCTTCCTGGAAGTGGAAGTCCTAAGCTTGACTTTGAAGAGTGTGCAGGCTACCCAAGAGCTAGAGCCAAGCCGAGATGCTAGAGAATGGGTGTGGACCAGTGTTTAACCTTGAAAGAAGAGAGTGGTGCTGCAGTGGAACGCTCATGCCAAAGTAGAAGAGTGTGGCCCTGCAGTGGGATGCTCATGTCAAAGTCTACGTGTGGAGTATGGATGGTTCAGACTAGGAAATATTCACAGATGCCAAAGTGTAGAGGAAAGGCTTCACTGAGATGCAAACATCTGGACATGACAACTGGCATTAGTCACAAAAGGAGGGAAAACAGTTGAAGCTTACATTAAATGCCTGGCACTAAGGACAGGAGAAATGGTCATATTAGCAGAATGATGGAACAGGGATCATGGCTTCCCTAACACTAGGAGAGGCATCTCTGGGAATGCAATTCAGAAAGAACTTTTTATGCTGGAAAAAAATCAACTCCCCCTGAAAAATCCCAAAACTTTTGCCTTCGTTTTTCTTAATAATCTGAATGATTTTATAACATAGCTTTTGTCTTTGAGAAAAAATTATCTACAAATATAAATTCTGTAGTGGATCTTAAGATAACTAATTAATGATATCCATGAAAAAAATTTATAACTTCCAAGACACATTAAATAAATAAAAATAAGCAACATAAAATTTTTATCTTTAAAAATTGGTTTGTAGCTAATGGGTGTATATATTCTACTTCAAAGACAGAGTGTGTGTTACTCTGAGTTCCTTGGAGTCTCTTTTCCAAGGGTAGCTGTAGGGCATCAAGGTGCCTGCTACCGGAAACTCTTGGGCTCTCAATAAAGATAACATGAAGGGCAAATTTAAAACCTCAAACAGTCACTAGTGGAACTCAAAAACAGAAGTTGAACAAATGGAAAACATCAAAATAGAACTTTGAACATTAGGTGGCATTTTAAACAGAATAGTACTATGCCCAATATTTACCCAATCATAATGATGTTTCTGTAACAACAGAAAGACAGTATTTACAGAAAATAATGAAAAATTTGCAGGTTAACTAGAAATACTTTTGAAATTTGATGTTAAACTGGCCAAACACATAATATTGGTTTAAAAAATAATCATCATACCTAGATTGAGACTTTTTACAACGGTTGTTAATAATAGCTACTAAACTAAAAAAATCTACTGTATAAAAATTAATGACCAACTAAATTATGTCATCATTAACTGTATACCTACAAAGTGGTAAAAAAAAAATACTTCTAGTTGAAAAAACAAGAAAGTAAAAATTTACAAATGCTTCCTGGGATTTATATTTATTATTTAAAAAGTAAGAGTTGCAAATTTTATAAAAAGTCAAAAGCACAGCTTACCATTTTAGGCACTGGGTTTCAAAGTCTGTTGAGGATGCAGTTCAGGCATTTTCTATAGAAGAGGAAATATGTTGGGATGGATATTGTTTATACTTCTGCTGAGCTAGAGATTGGACCTAATGTCGTAGGCATGCTAGGCAAGCAGGCACTTACTCTACCACTGAACTCTATCCCTGGCCCTCAGCATGATTTGAATTGGGTATCAGAACACGAACTCTGAACTCAAGCACTCGGTACCATGGGACAGTTCAAAGACTACACAAGGTGTTGCTTGCATCCAAGAGAAGTTGGAATAATAAACTAAGCCAGGTATGACAGTGGTACCATATATGTAATCCTGCATCATGGGAGACTGAGGCAGGAGGATGATGAGTTTGCAGCCAGACTAGGCTACAAAACAAAATTAATGTCTAATTTGGCCATATGACCACTCATAGACATTGCATGACCACAATGGCTGAAAGCCATCAAAGCCATTTTGATTTATTTTATGTTGAGATAGAATCTCACTCTCTAGCTCAACTTAGGCTAAAGCTCATGGTAAAAATGTCTCAGCTTCCCTAGCGCTGGGCTCACAGGTATGAGCCACCATGCCGCGTCTGGATTTGATTTAGACAAGCTGTCAGATGTACATGAGAGTTACCCAAAAGAGCAAACGCTTTTAGGCAAGCAGCAGTTCACGGCAATCAGCAGAACATTACAAGAATTTGAACACGAGCTGTCCACATTTTATTTAGATGGACTGATGGGTTCTGTGTCGATTTCATGTGCTCTGTTAAAAATATTACAAAAAGAAAAATCCATGTTTTATTATTTTATACATGAAAGGATTCTAGTTTTTAAAAAATGTTTTTAGACATGGCATCACGTAGCCCAAGCTGACCTCAGCCTCATGTGGAGGTGAGGATGGCTCTACACTCCTCTTGCCTCCTCTTCTTAAGACAGACACCATCAGGCCCAGCTTTTTTCTTTTCCGTTTTCAGTGAAAAAATGCCACATAAGACACAAAAAGGCATTCCAATAGAATAAAAACATTTGTAGACAAACAATCCTGAAAGAAAATTCTGTCAGGCTTTTCTGGCCCCAAAGGTTGTAGAACGTGGTGGCCACTGATGAGCAGTTTGAAGAAATGCCAGATACAGCTATTTTCTGTCTTCTTCCATTCCAGCTTTGAGAAACTCAGTAACGTTAGAAATGCTATGTGAAACTAGACTGCAAATCCACTTCCTTCAGGTCCCTGACACTTATAATCAGACTTTATTCTCTTCACTACACATGGTAACCGAAGGGCAGGAATGAATCAGTAAGGAGTTACACCCTCTAACGGGAAGCAAATCCAGGCTCCCAGGAAAATTAGGGCAAACTCAGGGCCACTTCTTAACTCCCCACATTGCCCATCTCCCTCCTCTGTGCACCTTGGGACCTTTTAAATATCAGACTTCAATGGAAGTATCTACTTCTCCTAGTTTCTTGATTTTTAAATTTTATTTTTAAGCATAGTTTATTACTAAGAGCATAATGACTTTTCTGTTTATTTTTTTTCCATAGGCACACTAAAAAGGCATTCTTCAGGAACACCCTGATTCATGCTTTGTTCATTCTTTCCTTCTCTTATTCTGTGTTTGCTAGTCCAAAAGAAAACCAAAAATTAGTGTATAGGTTCTTAAAGCACAGCTGGAGTCAGATACGTAATCTCTGATTTCAGTTGCCTTCAAAGGGCGTTCTTGCCCTTCAGTTGCTCTCAGGATTGAGTGAAATCATGTCACCCACTCTAATAAAGTATCCTTGACATAATACATAAGCAATGGTATTGATTATTCTTCAAGAAGTAAATTTACTTTTGAATTTATGGAAAATGTGTTCTGCATTCCCTAAGATATGACTGGGCTCTATTTA